AGTGCCAAATGGATTCAAACCTTCCGTGCACAACCCAAGCCTTAAATTTCTTACTTCATCACCAAATGCCCTAAACTTCATATAAATGTTCTTCTATTGTGGAGAGTCAACCAGATGCTTCAACAAACTATTTTTCTTTCTTCCCTCTGAATGCCATATCAACTTCTTATCATCTTTTAGAAATGAAAAAAGACTCTTTAATCTTGGAATAATGGGAAGATACCACAACACCTTAGCAGGAGGTCCCTTCATCCCAAAATTGGAGCTTGTTCGCTTGTAACGCAACTCACCGCAACGTGGACACTCCTCTAACTCTTCATATTCATTTCTACACTGAACATAATCATTAGGATATGCATGTATCTTTTTATGCTCCAAACTAAATGGACACATGAGTTTATTTTCATAATAGTATGAATTAGGAAGTTCATTCCCTTTTTGCAACATGTCACATAACGTAGTCAACAAAGAAGTTAAACTAGTGTCACTTCATTTATGCTTTGACTTAATGTTAAAAAGTGTTAGCACGGTTGAAAGTTTTGTGCATTTTTTTTACCTAAGATACAAAGGCTTTTTGGCACCCTCTGATAAAGGACTCAAATACATCGGATCCTTCCCCGAAGTCACCTTCAACATCATGCATCATCTCATCCAAGTGATCAACACCACCATCCTCGATCTCATCCCTCTCTTCATCCCCATATCCACCATCATCAGTCCCATATTCCTCTTCCACACGAATCTCGACACTCTTATCATGCGTATCATTTCCAACAACATTCTCTCTATACGATCCCTTTACACCGTGCCAAACCCACACATGATATTGAGGTCTAAACCCATGACATTATACATGAACCATGATAGTATCAACACTATCGACCAATGTGACATTATTACAATTCACACAAGGGTAATAAAGGGCATTGACAACTGTTCTGAGCTGATACTGTGAAGCAGTCTTGCAAAACTCTTGAACCCCATTAAATAATTCCAATGTATCGCGTCTACCATACATCCATCCGCGATCTATCGACGTTTTAAATTGCCTTTAAGCATACCAACACATATATGATATCAATTAGAGTACATTTCATTTATATCATTCATATTGCGTAAAAATGAATGCTCCCAAAAGGTCCTTATCAGTTTAACCTAACCAACCCTTGAATGTTTAATCTCACTAGTGAATGTATGTCAACTTTCCAATTTTAAGGAAAATCGGGCAGCATTTCCCCCCATTTCTCCAAGTACATAATGTAGGTAATAAATTACCTACATATGCACCTAGATAACAAGGTGGGAAAATGATAAGCTAAAATATTCCTTAAAATTGAAAAAGAGACATACATTCACTACCTAAGTGAGATCAAACATCCAAGAACATTCACAGCCGGGGACTATTCAAGACTTTCTCCTTATGAGAAAGACTTGAACCGGTATCTAAGCAAATGATGATGCAAGCATTCACTACTTAAGTGAGATTAAATGTGCAAGAACAATCCCAACCAAGGACTATTCAAGACTTTCTCCTAATGAGAAAGACTCGAACGGGTATTATAGACATCCATTTGCGTGATGAATACCTATTCTAGTGATGAATACCTTTCGCGTCGAATCATAATCTAATGAAGTGAAAGTGTGGAATGTCTAGCGATGAGGATGTTTTTATTAAAAGCTCTCTTCTTTCTATTTTCGAAAACCCACTAGTAGAAAAACGTACATTTGCGTCGCCTTATTTGCGTCACTAATACAAAAGAACGAAGAAAATGTATTTTTTTAGCATCCTAAAAAGTGATTTGCGTCGCACATTAACCAAGAAGCGATGCAAAAGTCAGATACATTTCAGCTTTTTGTTATTTGTGTCGCTCTTAATAAGTGAAACGACGCATATGATAATGTTATTTGCGTCGCTCATTTAGTGACAAGTGACGCAAATGAGTGATAGAATTAAAATGCGTCACTCCTTTAATTAATAAGCGACCCAAATAAGTAATGTGCAGCATTAAACTTTGAGTTATTTGCGTCACATTTTTTTAGTTGAGTGACGCAAATCACTCTTTTGCATTTAGGTTATTTCGGATTCCACTTGCTAGATGCCTGCCCTTTACTAAAACAAAAAAATAGCGCTACTCCTATCTTCCAAGAACGGCGATTTCGTACAGCTAAACACCCAGAATTTCGAGCAAAAAAACCCCAGAAATTCGAGCAAAAAAACCCCAGAAATTCGACCCATACACCCCAAGAAATTCGAGCAAAAATCACCCTGAAATTCAAGGAATTTCGACTCAAAAACCCCTAGAAAACCAACCCACAAACCCCCAGGAAATCGACCCAAAAACCCCATAAATTCGACCCAAAAAACCCCATAAATTCGACAAAAGAACCCCCACAAATTTAACAACCAAACCACAATGTTGACAACACCCATTATCGGAAAAAATTCAGGTTTACAAACCACCAATTTCGAGCAAAACAAACAAATAAACCATAAGAAACCCTAGGAATTCGAGCATTAATTCGATTATGGGAAAATACGAGTGAATTCGAGCAAAGGCGTTTTATATATTTCTGGAGAACGCTTATTCAACTTAACAGTTCTATATTATGTGTTACTTTTTCACATTTTTGTGGTAGTGATTTTTATTTTAATTCCTAAAATTTATTTTTGGCAATTATTTAGAATGAGTGGATGTGACTCGAAAAATTCTAATTATTTAATGTGCGTAATTTTATTAACATTATTGTCATATGCATAAAAAAAAAGTTCTCATTGGAAAGACCATCCGTAATGAGTTAAAAATATAGGATTTTTACAAGTAAGAAATTTGAGAAATGTCTTTCACAACTAGAATCGAAATAATACTGCGAAAACTGGAAAATTCTAAGAACACAGAAAGCTGCTCAGGCATGTAGGAACTAGCATCTAGAAAACAGTGATCGTCGTTTGAAAAATGGCCTTTTGCCTGGCGATAATTTTGTCATCTGTTGACAGAGCCATTTTCTGCCGACGGACACTGTTGTCTGGCGCCGTGTTCTTCCAACCATTGGATCTGTAGCCCCGAGTTTTATCTTTAATTTGGCGTTGGTTTCATCCAAATCACAGTCACAGATAAAAAGTTATGACTAAAATACCACAACCTGTCCAGTTTAATGCATATACATGAAATCTTAACTTAGTCGTTGCTTTGAGTCTAGTCACATAGTCTATCCACATGGTCATGACACAAGTTTTAGCATGTCCCCTACACTCACTAGTGGTAGCAAACACTTTGTGTACATGTCACCATGACCATGTCTTCGGTTAATGCATGAGTCATTTTCTGTCGTTCGAGTGGGGAATCCAATCTATTCTCAATCTTTTCCACCTTTTCTTCCATGTTGAATAGAGCTTGAGTCAAAATAAATAATAAAAAACTTATCCCTAATTTACCTTTTCACAGTACTTGGTCAAGGAGAGAAGGACGTTTAACCAAGGACAACCTCTTTGTTCAAGTTCAACTTTTTGATAAACTGGTCAGTCGGAAGGAAAAAGCTAAGAAGATAATGGCCACTCAAGAAGAAGTCAATAAGATTAAGAAATAAATGACAGGCGTGACTGAGGTGTTGACGACCTTAACCCTCTATATCAATGACCCTGTGAAGCAACAACAAATGGAGCTCATGCAAGAGAGCTTGAGAAAGGTATCTAATGATTACAGGATCCGTGGCATTAGCTCGCAAGGGGTCTCAGTGGACAAGGAGCTTCTTCTGCGGAAATTCAATGGCAATTACATCCCTATGTTTAAGCCAACTGACAATCCTTACTTTCATTGAAGAGCCTTAGAAACTGTAATGAACATGGGATTGATAAGAATATTTTTTACTCTTTGTTCTCGCTATCTGTTGAAACCATTTGTCAACATTGGTTCTTCTCCCTTGATAAAGAGAAGACCTCTACTTGGGAAGGAATAAGAAATGCTTTCATTAATAGATATAAGTGTAATATTCACACTGAAACCGACCATGGACAACTTGATATGCTAAAACAAAAGGAAAACGAAGGCTTCACATCCTTCTTCAAGAAGTGGAGGCAAACTTCCGCTAACATGATCAAAGTCCCTACTGAAAAAGAATCCGTGAGGATGTTCATAAAAAATTTACAAGAAAAGTATTCAAAACACTTAAAATATCAACACAACTTGAATACTTTCAAGGCTGTCTATGACATAGGCATCGAGAACTAAGACAACCTCACAAAGCAAAAAGATACTAACAATAGTAACCACAGTGGCTGAAAAGGAAAGAAAAACGACAATCCTTCTTCTTCCAAAAATGCCCACTCTAGTAACAATGTTAGTACCTTTAATCTCAGTGAAGTTTTAGCCATGTATGACCAAGGATCTAAGAAACAACTAAGAAATGACTTCACCCCCATTGGGATGAGCTCTGATACTACATTCGATCGACTCCATACTAAGGGAGTCATTAATCCCATTGGGCCTATTCAATATCCCACACCTAAAAAGAGATTTCCTAGTAGGAACCCAGATGCACATTGCAAATACCATCAAGGCAGGGGTGATTGTAGGCATCACTCAAAGAGCGCCTACATTAAGCATGTGGTGAATATGCTTGGCACTCATAGGAAGTGGGAATTGACATAATACGATTAGGGACAAATAAAGTAGGGAGCCGACAACAAGTTTATAAGGAACTTGTAAACCGTTCACGGATCATGAAAGGCAACCACCACTAGTAGAAAAAGGCTCATTTGCGTCACCATATTTGCGTCACTCATTCTAAAGAACGAAGCAAATGTGTATTTTTACCATCCTTTAAAGTTATTTGCGTCGCATGTTATTAAAGAAACGACGCAAAAGTCAAGTGTATGTTAGCTTTATATCATTTGCGTCGCTCTTACTTATTGAAGCGACGCATATAATAACCTTATTTGCGTCACTCATTTATTGACAAGCGACGCAAATAAGGGAGTGAATAAATTGCGTCACTCTTTTAATAAATGAGCGATGCAAATAACAAGTTTTCAGCATTTCAGATTTTGTTATTTGCGTCGCATTTTTATTATAAAGTGACGCAGATAACTCTGTTGCATTTTAGGTTATTCATTCTGCGCTTTTTTAACCTTAGCTTTTCACGCCTACCTTTCACTAATTCACTAAACAAAAAGAAAAAAAACAGAGTTGCTTCTATAGAAAACTACAATTCGACCTTTCAATCCAACAAATTCGCCCAAAAAACACCCACAAATTCGCCCAAAAAACTGCAATTCCCCAGCAAATTCAACATCCAAAATCGCAATCAAGTTCAACACCTATAATCGGCAGCAAATCCAAGCAATTTCGAGCAAAAATTTAGACCAAAAACCCTAATTAATTCGAACCCTTAATCCCCAGAAAAATTGATTATTTTCGACCAGAAATCCCCCATTTCGAGCAAAAAATGTACTCAATTCCATACGAATTCGAACCCTAGAAACCCCAAAAAATTCAATTAAAAATCCTGCTGAAAAAATTCGAGCAATAACTGAAATTTTCGAGTGGAAAAATCGCTTAATTTAGCCCCCAAAAACCCGAGGAAGTTCAAGCAAATTACAACAATGTTGAATTTTTGAATTTTCGAGTGGAAAAATCGCTTAATTTCGCCCCCAAAAATCGATTTCGGCTCGACATTGTTGAATTTTTGAAGTCAATTTCACCTATGGTAAGATTGCTTCTATTTATGTTCAATCTTTTCATGGTAGATAGAATGTAGCATTTAACTTGAACAATGACTTAGTTTAATTTCAGGTTTAGTGTTAGTTCACTAATTAGAAATTATATGGCAAATTTAATTGAATTTTTATAATTTCAGTCATTGAATTTCTAGAAACACCCAAGAAGTTGAATCTATAAAACTTTATTCTTGGTTGCAATGCCATAGGTGGGCGTTTGACTACTGTAACTTTTAAGAGAGTTTGAAATTTGTTGAATTAAAGAAGACAACTCCTTTTTCAGCTGCTGCGCTTGGCAATTTTCTTACTTTCAAATCTTTTGGGATTATTCCTTCATCTCAGTGTTTTCATTATTTGATCTGCATATCTCATCTGTGGCTGTCGTTTGCTCTTTAGTTTCTGAAGTGTTTAGTAATAATGTGAATTGCAGGGCTCCATTCATTTGATTTTATAGGACTTGGTTACAAAGTCGATTGGCCGGTCACTATCGTGCTGACCTCAAGTGCATTGAAAATATATGCTGAGATATTCACTTATCTCATACAGCTCAAGCTTGTTGTTCTGTCTTTGGCTGATGTATGGTGCTCTTTGAAGGTATTGATTTATTGAGCTGCTTATAGAATATTGGATGGTTTAAAGTAAATGATCTTTTGTAGGTAGAGCATATCATATATATTTGTAAAAGATATTAATTATGTGTTGACTTTGATCTTTATACCTGTCATGAACTCAAAACTCAAGAACCCAATTATCAAGGAGTAGGTTATTTCCCCATATACACATTTTTTATCCTTCGAATATGTGAATTCTCGTGTTCCCTCCAAATCACCATTTCATCACATCTGTTTTGATGGTTCTTATTCTGTTGGGTAATTGGGGCATTTATTGTTTATACTTAATTGCACTCCCTCTGTCCCAATATAGTTGCTACAAACACTTTTGACACGTGATTGAATGGAAGTGAGAATATAGAGACAAAACGTCCAAAATACATGCATCACCTAAATTGTGAATGACCACTATTATATACTTATATGCAGCATTTGTTTATTTGGTGCTCTTGCTTATGATATATGGTTGTAGATGTGTTGAAAAAACGCTATTAATGATCTAATTACATTACCAACCTTGGATAATGGCTTTTCGTTGCTTGTTTCTGCAGGTTTTTAAGCACCTAATCAGTGAGACTGATGAACAACATCAGCAGGCAAGAACAAAATTTAATTGCATCGTAAAATTGAGGTATTTATTCGATTGAAATGTCCTGAAAGCTTCTGTTTGCCTTATTTTGCTGTTGGTTGTTCTATTAACCATCTTCTTCAGAAGAAAACTCAAATCTGTGTTCAAAGTAGGAACCCTAGAATTATGTTTTATCATCTGCATTTCTGCATGTAGGCACCACCTATTAGTTTGGTGTAGCTACTAGTAGTTGATAGCTCAGAATTATTTCCACAGGGCCCCACTGCCCATTGTCACTGGATTAAATGTGCCAAGGGGGTGAGTGCCAATTTTGATCTTGCTTTTATGTGTGTGTCTGGGAGGGGGTGGGGTGCATTTGCCATTTGGAGTTAGTGTGGGAACTGGGAAGGGACCAAAATGTGGTTTCATTATTACTTGAAAAACCAAAGCTTTCTCTGATGGTATACTTTAGTACTCCAAATATATAAAAATCAAACTTCCTTGGAACATATGTATGGCCATTGTTTGGCTAGTTAAATTACAAGAAGCTTCACCTATCTTTTGTATAGAACTTACTACGAGACATAGAAAATTGCTTACCTGTGGCTTGGAGAGGGCCTGGGAGTTTTTTTTTTCTTTTTTTGTTTTTTTTTTGGGGGGGGGGGGGGGGTTAGAAACACCCAAGAAGTTGAATCTATAAAACTGTATTCTTGGTAGCAATGCCATGGGTGGGCGTTTGACTACTGTAACTTTTAAGAGAGTTTGAAATTTGTTGAACTGAAGAAGACAACAATCTACATAGAGCTCCAAGATAAGTTGTTACATAAAGAACTTGACGTTTTGGAAATTTTCTAGGCAAATAGTATAGATTTCTGGGCCTTCCATTTATTCCCTTACCAGCAGTAAGCAGTAGCTAAACAAGGCCTTTAATAAGACAATGCTTTCTACTTAGTTTTAATATGTAAATGGAAAACAACAATCAATTGTTTTGAAGTGGCTCTTACCTAAATGGCTGCTTCTTTGATATAAATGACAAAGCAATAGCCTTGTGTAATTCTGTTCTGTAACTAATCCCTACTATATCCTCTTTTTTATTCATGTTCTTGATCAATATATTTATAATCCAACTTACAATAGATTTCCACATTTATGTACAATCTCAAGTGACTCCACATAATCACAGGTTGATGACGTGGTTTACTGTTGCGTTTCAGGCATCAGGTTAATCATTTTGTCTCCACGTTGCAGCAATATGTGCTATCGCAGTTATCGGATGTATCCGGGAGTAGATTTTGCTTCTCCCGCGAGCATGAGGTTTGAGCCAGTGCTATAACCTATAAGTATACCTTGTTTCTTTTTCTGTCTTATGTCTCTTGGTTCTCTATAATAACATATTTCTATCTATTTTGATTTCTCTCAACACCCTTCAAAAAAAAAAAAAACCCTTGTTTGTCGGTTTGTCCCTTTCTTCTCTCCTTAGTTTGCATGGCAACATGAGGTACATCAGATGAATCAGTCAGGCATTTAAAGAGGAAATTATTGAAGCAGTTCTATCAGATTTACTCGTCTAGACTGCTTTATTTTAAATAAAACTAATATAGGTTGAAAAATAAAAATCAAGAGCTCTGAATACATTATAACTATACCAATTCTACTGATTTAACCCCCTACATTGTATTCTTATTCATAATGGCCTCACTGTATGATTATTTAGAGTTTTTAGTGGTTCAGAAATCTGAACAGTGGAAAGTGACACACGTTGCTTATCAAGGGGCTTGGGAGTTGACATAGTTGGGAGTTCACATAGTTGGTGGAAAGTGAAATCATAATTGGTTGTGTTGTGAGTTTGATTGTGGAATCTGATAGTGCAGTGTGTTTTCTGTATCCTTTCTTGCATTGTTAAACTCTCCTTTCACTGGTTCCAGAGGCCTTGAATATATCACCATGGCTCGGTATCACTGGGAGCCATTTCTAGTTGTGTGGTTTACTATGCGTAAATAGCCAATTTTGTGTACAGTGTAGTCTACTTTGTATTATTAAAACCACTTGCTATACTATGTAATTTCAATAGCTGCTCTTCCTGTTATACCATTCAATTCACAATGGTAATGAGTTTATTTGTATTTTGTTGTGAATGTCTATTTTAATGTGAATATGTAATGCAATTCTATCCCCGATAATATGTGTTTTTCTCTAATAGAATCTTTAGGTTTTATAATTTTTATAATTTTTATTGTAGTGTCCTCAACAATTGGGTGGACGTGAGTGTAGCTACTACGTCATGCGTTATATGTACGAAATACTTGAACATCACCATAGCAGTGAAGATCTTATTCAGGTATGAGTTGTCTAATATTTCATTTTTGTTTGATAAATACAATTTGATGTTAGCTACAATCTTGAATTAAAACTTTCCTCTTGTATATTTGTTGTGTTGATAGGATTTTTCAAGAACTACACCGTACACCGAGGAGGAGATAAATGAGATCCGAGATATTTTGGCAGAGTATTTTATTTGTAATGTTGAACTTTAGATTTACCACTTAGCGCATGTTTGACTCTTGTTTTGGATTATAGGCTTGAAATGAAGTAATTTGGTTAATTGGTGTTGGGATGATGAGTATAATGTCTATGATATTGAGATGTAAATTATTGGACAGGTTGTTAATATAATGCCGTCATTCCCAATTTTATGGGTAGGCCAAATTACAAAGGAGACTTTGCCGAAATTTACTTTTGCATTATTCAATAATATTGCATTTTAATTTCAGTTATATTAGCGTTAGCATATTACTTTATACCACTAGTAAGGAAAACAGGTACTACAAACATATACAAGGCAATTATTATATTATAATTAAAAAAAAATCACCTCATTTGCGTCACTCATTAAACAAACAAGTGACGCAAATACAGTAGTTTTGTATTGTCTACTCAGTTATTTGCGTCACTCCTATATAAACAAGTGACGCAAATAACAAAAAATAAGTTTATCGGAAGAGTCATTTGCGTCGCTTTTTTATAAAGGAGTGTCGCAAATAACAAAAAAGAAGTTTATCAGAAGAGTCATTTGCGTCGCTCTTTTATAAAGGAGTGTCGCAAATAACAAAAAAGAAGTTTATCTGAAAAGTGATTTGCTTCGCTCTTTTATAAAGGAGTGACGCAAATAACAAAAAATAAGTTTATCTAAAGAGTCATTTGCGTCGCTCTTTTATAAAGGAGTGACGCAAATAACAAAAAATAAGTTTATCAAAAGAGTCATTTGCGTCACTTGTTTATAAAGGAGCGACGCAAATGATTCTTATTTGCGTCGCGCCTAGAAGCGACGCAAATACACTATAAATGAGCGACGCAAATAAGCCTTTTTCTACTAGTGCACGAATAAAGGGACAAAGATAGGCGACAACGATTGACCCGTGAAGGTTACACCCCATTCATAATCCATGAGATTACTAACTCCATATGGTTTGAAACCACAAAAGGAGGATCGCGGATGATGGTACGAAGTGAGTCATGGAGTCACAATCGCCCGTATTGGCCTCTACCCGATTCTTATAGTGAAAAGCATTCCTGCGATCTCAAAGGCATGCAAACAAAATATTCAATTTGCTCCAAACTATTATTATGCTAAATTTGTTTAATATTAATGCAACATATAATTCTAGAATATGGTGATCACTTGATTAAACAACAAGATTAAAAAGGAACCTAAGCCGGTTGTCCAAATTATCTTATTAGGCGTGATTTTCAATTACATATTCCCTTTAACATGCTAGCAATATTAAAATAAAATAAGAGTAATTAAATTAATTAATTAATTACTCACATTCCACGCGTTCCTTTAAATTGCTACATCATGAATAAATTGTTAGTAATTTCAATAAAAAATATAAAGCAAATGAAAATTAAACTAAATAAATGTAGATTTGATTTGGTCTAAACCCTCAATTATTTGTACATTTCACACCTTGGTTTAAGGACAAAGCCTCGGGTTAAGTATGGACTCCTTGGAATTCTTAAGGGAAGAATGTTTTAATTAGGAATATAGGTGTAACGCTTAGAATATGAGAGAGAGAGAAGATAATGATTTTTGGTGTAAAAGAGAGAAAAAGAGAAGGATTTGATTCCCCGAACTGCAGAAATTAGGGTTTTATTTATAGGGAAATTGAGCAGGGGGAACACACGGAACCCTTAAAAGATAAAAACCCTAAAAATTAACACTGCGACACGGCAGAGAACACCGTGACACGGTGCCAAGCACCGTCAGACGGGGCACACTCCTGTGACACGGGGGAAAACAATGCGACGCGAGAAATATTTGACCTACGGGAAGTGAAAACACGTTAAGGGTTTACGCGGAAAAGACACGATAAAATTCAGTGACACGACACACGTACCATGACACGGAAGTATACATTGTGGCACAACACAGTACACCATGTCACAGTATAAGAAAATGCGGAAATTACACCGAAAAAGCACCGTGACACGCTGAGAAATATCGTGTCAAGGCTGCAGGTACCGTGCCACGGTGTAATTTGACGCGAAAAAGCTTCAAAAATAGCACCGTAACACAAAGTAAAGCACCGTGCCATGGAACCAGGCATTGTGCCAGGTAATCAGGCGCCGTGACACGGTGCTTTTGCATTGAGTGCGGTAATTCCTGTTTTTTAACATGTTTTTAAAATTGTGATAACTTTTGATCTGTAACTTGGAATAAGGCATATAATATATCATTGGAAAGCTTATCAATTCTCATTTCCATCCCAATCAGAATCAGGTCAAAATAACTTTTAGATTTTATGATATGGTCGTTTTAGTGGAAGGGTGTTGGTTTTGGAACGACTTTAGTGTTTTTCTCATATCCTTTTCGTTATAGATCAGAATTGGACTTATGATATATGGTTGGAGGGCTTATTAAAAGTACTATCCAACCAAATAATAATTGGATCAAAATTATATATCCATAAAATCAATTCCGCTCGGTTTTGTGATGTGGATACGAAAAGTGGAAAATAGGTTATGGTTTAGGGAAATGAGGTAGAAATTTGATTGGTTCATGAAATATATTGGATAGAACACCGATTTAAGCACTCCAAAGATTAAATACTCAACCCAACCAATAACAGCGATGAAAGGTGTTCATCATCGGGTTTGGATTTGGGGAAACATTTTTAGGTGTCTACAGAAGCCCCCACTTTGACTGAGTTTGTAGAAACGTCAGTTTTGAAAACGATAGTCAAAGTAGTCGATAGGGACGGAGAATGAATTAAGACGTTCTGCGATCCTAAATAACTCTGTTGATACTTGTAGAAAAATGTTAGTTCCGCAGATAAAAGAGTAAAGGGATAGAATGCGTATCTGTCACCAATGTATCGGTGACAAATGAATTTGATAACTTCCTATACTTGAAGGAATCAACTTGATGACGTTTGTTGAAATGCTTTCCATGCCTGAGGAAAGCCGACTGACGAGTTTGGTAGCTCTCTATGCTTGAAGAAATCTACCGGATAATACTTTCCATGCTTGAGGAAAGTCGACATATGAATTTGGTTGTTTTCTATGCTTGAAGAAATCCACCGGATAATACTTTCCATACTCGAGGAAAGTCGACAAATGATGAGATTTCAAGTCTCTGTGTACTGAGAACCTTGCGTCGTGAAATGATAGTGGTTCGATTGTCCCCGAACGTGGGCTGTAGATGGTCCGCTTGTCCCCGAACGTGGGATGTAATTGTTTCGCTTGTCCCCGAACGTGGGATGTAATTGTTTCGCTTGTCCCCGAACGTGGGCTGTAGATGGTTCGCTTATCCCCGAACATGGGTTGTAACCTTCACGGGTCAATCGTTGTTTCCTATCATTGTCCCTTTATTTGTGGTTGCCTTTCACCCTTCAAATATACAATCTTTTCTTGATAAACCACTTTGAGCCTCGTCTAACGGTAGACCTTTCTTTCTTCGACCCACATCTACCTAACCTTGGGATGGGATGGTGTGTAACTTGTGCAATTTCAAAAGCTTGAATGATTTCAAAAACTAAAAAAGCAATAAAAAAATAAATAAAAGTATACAAAAGGGCAAGTGTTCCAATGTCTTCGATATGAAAATATCTTTAATATGAACAAGTCTCAGATTGCGTCTCTTATCAAGTGCTCAGTACCGTGATTGAGACACATGACTGCGAAGAGAGTGATAGACCGCATGATTGGGATTGCCCACACTTATAAAAATAAAAAAGAAGAAAGCAAAAAAAAAAAGAAAGAGAGCAAAAAATATAAAAAAGAATTCAAAAATGAGAAAACTCAAGCCTAAAAATACAAGGATTCAAAAGCAAGGTTGCACACCTTGGGGGCTTATCGAGGGTCTTGAGCCTTTATCCCCTTCTTCTTCAAACCTTTAGCCTAACGTTACATCCCTTAAAAAAGACCTCTTTGAGGTGTACGCACACTTGTGCGAGGTTCGACTAGAGCTACGTAGGCAACCTCACATTGGGGTGCGGCCGTAATAAACATGCACTCATATTCACATTCACACACTCACACCATGATCATATCAAATGATCTCCAATGCTCATCCCTTTTCATTTAGAGCTAGACTTGGGGGCTTGATCCTTACATCATTAGCTTACCCTGCCTAAGAGTCACCACCATTTGACTCTTTTCAATATATTTTCCCACACTTAGCCCTTGCGGCCTAACTTTAGTATCACTTTCACACACATTAGAGATGCATGATCAAATAGTCCTTCCTTAGGTACCCTTTGTCATGAAATTTTAACACAACGCTGAACTATGCATTGTCATATCATCATCAATCCTTGTTGCATAACGAAGTATGAAGTTCTTAGCCTCTGTGTCTAAGTTACCAAAATATTTTCATCAAAGATAGCCTAGGATGAATTAATCCTTGCACCTTAAGAGATGGTATCAAATGACATTTGACTAAGCTCATTCAACATGCACCCTCAAACACTTTGATTCTTTTACGCGTCCTTCTTCTTTGGAAGAAAGTCGGTACCCTCCACATAAATGATGGAAAATTTTTGCTTTTTTGTATTTTTGAGTCGCACGATCACATTACAATGCACACACGAGTCATGTACACATTGAGTCATGTCATATTATCGCATCGAGTTAAGTCTACGCATACATGAGTCACATGAAGCGAGTCGTCATACCTTGAGTCATGTCAAGTCAATGATTCAAGTGACACTAAGTCTTAGGTCAACCCTAAAGAAAGATGAGCAAAGTCTTATAGTCCAAAATATAAGTGCGGATACATTGCAAAGAGCAAATGAGTAAGAATATTCTCGGATTTTTTCAAAAAATTGCGAATATGACCTCATGAGATTCCTCCAAGATAAGAGGAGTTTGAGCAAAATTATATGGATCAGTAAATTAGAGATGAAGAGCTTTAATTTACAAAATATTTGAGCGGATTTAGTTGAAAGGAAACGACCAAGTTCAAAGTTCGAAGCGAAACCAAGCAAAGAATAGCAGCAGCAAGGGCAAAATAGGGATGACTAAACTCCAGCGTAAGACGACAAGGCTGTCGCCAGGCGACAGAAGAAAAGTGCGGCGCCAGATAGTTCTAGCGAGCGCTGGTGCGGCGACACAATGCGTGTCCCCCATATGAGATTATGCGGACCTAGTGCAGCAATTTTAAGGTTCCTTGGTACGTCAGTTAGCCCCTATAAGCAATTTGAAATTATTGAG